TTATGTTCCGGAAGAACGCTGCGGCGCAGCGATACCGGTTGCGTTCTAAGGCACTTCCCGCATGCTTTTCAATGGGCGGAAGGCGAACAAAAAGAGTTCGAAATCAGGACTTAACGCAAAATGCTGCATTTCTCTAGCGCCTCATAATTTGACGAGCCTTGCACGAAAAGCATGTTTTTATAGCGCATAGTTTTTTTTTTTTTTTTTTTTTTTTTTTTTTGACAGCTTGGGTTTAAAGTATCAATGGGCCCATTTCCCCAGGGGTAATGGGGTGTATCAGTTGTTTTTGGAAATGGCGGCGAATATTGGATAAAGTCAAGTGGCTTGAAAGCAGACACATGCACGGTACCCCAAAAAAGTAACTAAATACCGTTACTCGTTACTAGCTCAAAAAGTAACTAAGTACGCTACTCATTACCGATTCTCAAAAGGAACGCGTTACAACACCTCCAAAGTAAGGAGTTACTTTTCTCGTTACTTTGACGGCCAAGCGCACAACTGCTTTTGTTTCATGGTTTATTGTATTATTTTCAGTAGTCGTTGCACTTAAGCAGTAGCTGCCTCTTCAAGTTTTCATCAGTTATGTTTCACCGCTTCATTGAACATACCTCTCCGGCGACGCTGAAGGGTCGTTCTATTGACGCGCTCGAAAGAATAACGGCTGTGTTGTGCTGCAGGAAGAGCTGGTGAATCTGGGATTCCCTTTTATCGTTTGTTCTCTCTGCTACTGAGGTTCCAAGTTGGCAATGGGTTCTGTGTCTTCCCTTGTTGGCAAACTCCGGTTACATTCGATCTGTACACGATTCTAGAAGGTTCAACCAACAAACATTATTTTGTTCTCTGGGTGAAGGACATTCCCAGCTGTAGAGTTCAACTGACGTGTTCAGCGATTAACGTTGCTATACTCTCATACCAAATACCATGTAAGCCAATACAGTCGAAAAGTGATGGCAGCGCCCCTGGCGAGCTCGGAGTCTCCGCTAGCAGACGAATTCTCCACAACGCATTGGTTTTGCCTATCTCCGTGCGAGGTGACCAATTAGAAAAATATTGTCACGGGTATTCGCTGGCTTGAATGTTAAAAAAAAAATAGGTGCCACCTCATGAGTGAAGGACATTTTCTTCGCGTGGGAAAGATGTTAGAGCTTGTAGGGAGGAATTTTCGGCTCTCCTGAAAACAAAAAAAAAAAAACAAAAAAAACTCTGTCAGGACTTACGTAAGCAAGGCAAAACACGAATGTACCTTCGCCCCGTTTCTTGAAAAAGGGCAATGGAAAAAAAATTTTAGAACATAGCTACGTTTCAACTTTACTTTTCTTATCGATCAATTCGTTTTGTTGTTGCAATTCCAATTTCTCATGAATTTATTGCTTAAAACCGTTTCGTCGAATAGGCGAGCTGGCTAATCCCAATCGCCTCCGGATGAAGGAAAAGGCAATTTCGAACTACGTACGTTACTGCCATGTCAGTATGCTCTGGAAGAAGTCGATTGTGCACATGCAAATCTGACGCTATTACTAAAACTAATAAAAGCGGAGTTACAAAAAAAAAAAAAAAAAAAAACCCGTTGGACGGTCGTGCATCTCCTTCCATTTTTCAAAATCTTCCTTTCTTTCTTTCTCTTTTCTTTTTCTCTTTTGTTTGAGGCGACGCTACGCCGCCGCGGTCTTCCTCCTGCGTTTTTGTTTTTTGTTTGCTTTTTTCTTTCTTGTATTTACTTGACGGTCGAACCATCGCGTATTTTGCTTTGCCTTGTTTGTCTTAGTTTTTACTTTTTTTTTTTTTTCCTTCGCTTCGTCGCTTACTACTACTACTGTACTACCACCGGTTCGTCTGCTACGCTATGCCCGGACATCTGGAGGGCTGTCTGCAACTTTGTTGTTATTGTTTTGTTGTTGTTTCTTTTTTTTTTTTTTTTTTTTTCCACTGTCGTCTGTGATAACCTCCTATTTTCGCCTTTGATTGAGTTTCTGATCAGAAATCTTCATATGTACTTTTTGATTTTTAATAACATACTAAAAAGTGTAAGCTCGTTATAGATTTCTATTCGGATTTTATTTGAGTACGCAGTCACGTCTGCTATGGGTCATCGTTGGTTGATCAACCGGCCACCTTCGGGCATACACCAGCGCATACTTGGAGATGACAGGCATGTCATGTGCTGCTTACCTCTGCAAAAACAAGTTTTTTGTGATATGGTGGAAAATCCTTCTTCCGCTTCCCCGAAGACCGAACAAACGTGAGTAATTAAGTTACTTCGAATTAAACTGGAAGAGCTATCCAAGTCTGGCTTCAAAATCGCCACTGACGCCTCAGCAGACAATTATGACAACTCCAGGGAGATCGCTGAGAACTTCACGGACGATAGACCAGATGCACTACTGAACACCCAGTCCTATGTAGCCGGGTGGGCAGCCAGTCAGATCTGTCAACATGCTTGCTTTCAGAAACATGGAGCATCTCGAAAGACATTCTGTTGAAGAACAAGAAATACTCGCATGCGAAAGTGACACCACCTTAAGACTTAGCTCGTCACCTAGCCGGTAACATCAGTCGTGCCTTCGACGCACATTTCACTGATATATTTCACCAAACAGGAGTTCAGCTGAAAACGCACTTGAGGCCGCTTATCGACACTCAAAACAAAGGCGCGATATGCAAGGATTGCCTGGTCATGTACGTCGACAAGTACCCTTGAATGTATTTTCGAACTGCCTCGCCAAGCGAGCAAATATTAACCTGCCAAAGTCACTGGAAAAAGAAATGCGAAAGCAGAAAAAGGTCACACACTGCCAGCACGAAGCAGATTACAGCGTGCGACTCTTATTTACCGGGCAGTGTGAGCTGGACTACGTTATTACCTTCCTCTGCTTTGATCTTTACTCCTACCAACGCCGCGAAAGCAAATAAACAAACGTGTTACGTGCAGCTCAAAAAAAAAAAATATATATATATATATATATATATATATATATATATATTAGTTTTGTCGTGTTGCTTTCGCTTGACTCAAAACCAACGTCGAGTACCACCTGCTAATTTTCAAGGCCCCTACCGACGCCCCTTGCGATCGTCGTCGTTGAAGGAGGTCTTTGCTGAATGATTTGTATCTTTGTATCGCCTGCTAACTTTTTTTTTGTTTCATTCGTCGTTGTTCACGACTGTTCTCTATTTCTTTTTTATTTTCGTCTGGTACGGGGACCTATCTTTCCTACAAAGTTCGGAAAGTGTCTGCACGGTCATTTTTCTCGTTACTTTTTGTTTTTGTAATGCTGCAGAGGCTGGTGCGGACCTATTCAGCTAAGAAATTGTGACAACGCAGTTCGTAACGGATAAACGGTAACCCCTTACGACGTAGTACGAGTAGCTAAACGCCTTTTTCCCGCTATGCGCTTCAAACGCGTGTGATCCCCCTCAGTGGCGTTTGGGACCTCTAAATAAACTGCTCTATCTTTGTTTCTGCGCGCGTTGTTATTTTATTGTCGTCGCAGTTGCAATCAGCGGACTCCGCTTTGCAAGCGGACTGACCGTAATGAATTGTTTGTGCTGTTGGAGTGACAAAACAGGGCACGCAAAGCTCGAGGACGTCGCGGAGCCTATACTTTTCCATTGCGTCGTCTGCTTCCGTAGACTCCGAGTCCGCTAGAGGCGCCACTGTCGCGTTCGCCGCCGCTCCCATAGGTTTTCGGCGGAGTTTCCAGTATTGGCGAAGCTATATCGTATTTGGTCATACTGTTTAGTATAGTTCTCGGGTTGCCTGTTTCCTTTGTCGCAATAGACGCATACTCAGGTTGCAATTAAAACGAGGCTGCATAAACGGTCTTGTACACGTTACTCATCAAAAGTAACGAAATACCGCTACTCGTTACTTGACCTAAGTACGTTACTAGATCCTTTTCTAAAAAAAAAAAAGTAACTAAATACGTTACTTGTTACCGAAAAAATGACTAGGTAGAGGTAACTCGTTACTAGTAACGCGTTACGAACATGTCTGCTTCAGAGTTAACAAAGCATCATTTTGTGATACAAATTTAACAAGATCAAATTGGGGAATTTAGTTTGAAGTCGGGACTTGTACTTTCCTCGGAAAATAGAAACAAAAAAACTTTAAGTGAAGTGCAAGTACATACTCAGAAAATGTATTTCAAGTAAAGCACAATGTACTTAAAGCACTTCCCAAAACTGTCCTCTGTCCGTGCTCCTTTGAGGAATTTCCAATCCCGATTGAACTTCTGGCCTCATACACAGTATCTCATTGCTAAAAGAGACGTACGCGAAAAGGCAAAAACGCGAAAATTGGTTAATATCTAAAACAACTTGGTTTTTCGCAAATTATTTAAATTGGCCTGACTTCTAATAGTATTCACCGTCAATACTGCAATTGCAACATGGCTCATAAAACCAATATTTAATACGTTAATTAACATATTTAGTTTATTAGCGAATTTCTTGTACCGGCAAT